GTTGTCGTCCAACTCGATGGTTGATCCATCGTTGTCGACAAACATAATGCGACCTTTCACCTTCCAGTTGGGAGGCAGTGTCTTCTTTCTCCCTTCCGTAGTGGGTGCTTGTCCATGCCCTATCTTTGCTTCTAGGTCTAGGGCCACCTTGCTGAATGAAGGAAAGTTGTGCATATTAATGTTGGCCTCTTTCGCCACTGGTTCCTGAGCGGCAGAGATAAGGTCCTCAAATAAGAAGTTAGCAAGACCTGGGGGTCATAGCGTACCCCTGGGACACAAATCAAACGCTCTACAGCGTCGTTGGCATCCCTTACTGACTTAAACTGCCGCGTGTGCAGTGTCAGAATCGCGTCAGTGGCCTTTTGAGCCTCCTGCGGAACATGCCACCTGTCTTCCACCATTTTCAGGAAGTCCTCCAATTTTTGAGAGGCTGCCCGAGAGCGGAAGTCATGACCGTACCCCTGGAGTTGCACTAACCCACTCAACCATCTCACTGCACTACCCTCCAGGTAGGAAGCAGCCACAAGCACTTCTTCGTGTGGCAAGGTGAGTTTACACCTGACGTAGACTTGCACCGCCCTCAACCAAGTGTCGAGGTCTTCGCCTCTCTTGTCTCCTGTAAAAGGTTTGGGAGCGACGATGGCCGTCTTTGGAACCCACTGACTTTGTCCCGGTCTCTGCACCAACCCGGGCTGTGGACCCCGCGATACAGGTTGTTGTGCTAGCTGCTGGGGCTGTGTGCCCTGAGGTTGCACTAACTGCGAGACAGCAGGCTGCGTGGTGACTGCAACCTGTGACGGACTTGGAGTAAACACTGTCTGAACAAGAACCTGCAAACTACTCCCTGCTGTTACCCCTCCTGACAGAGGCATGCCCAGGGAAACGATAGCAACCGATGAAGGGGCTACATATGGGGATACCCCAGTCACCGGTGGAACATAAGGAGGAGGATATGGCACTGACCAGGCACCAGGCCCTGCTGGTGATGGTGCTGCCTGAGCACGCCCTTCCAATATGGCTAGGCTTTGTTGAATGTCCTGAAGGAGGGTAGTTTGATGCTCCTGCATCTCAATTACGCCTAGCAGGGCCCTCCTAACTACCTTCACATCCTCATCCATATGCGTCAGGTCCATCGTCTCTAACTCCTCTATGTCTGTCCCTCTCTGTTGCATCCTGGCTCTTTTTCTAATCATTATCTTTTTCTCCCTTTTTATCTTTCCTAATGCCTGCTGTAGCTGTGCCTCTTGCAGGGATGCCTGCTGGATGGCGACATCCTCTGGGGACAACACCGCGGGCTGGCTTGCCATTAAGCCAGTGGACTGACTCACGGTCTGCACGACCGTGGACCCGGCGGTTCCTGAACTTCCGGCTTGAGAAGTCTGCTGCGTAGACGTGCTCATGGATGTGGTAGCCATGGCTGCTATAGAACTGGCCTCTCTAGCAAATGCCCTGCTGGCCTCGACTGCTCTAGCTCTCCTTTCCCTTTGTCGGTGGAACAGTTCCCTATCACCCTCCGGTCCTAAAGACACATGGGATACCGATCCTCTAGCCGATCGTAAAGTCCTGCGGTCGTCCTCTCTGGTGTCCTCCATGTCGCTCATAGGCTACAGCACTGTGCACCGTCCACACTAGATCATTCTAGATGCCTACCGCAACTTAGTACACAGACCAACTAATTAGTGGTGGCTATCAAAACAGATCTCATTTGGGGTCAACAGGTATGTGAGGTTCCTATTGTCAATACTATTTTTAGCAAGATTAGTTCCCAAACAGAGAAAACACCAGGAATAAATAATATTCTAAACTAATGTTGTCTGTCAGATGTCACATGGCTGTCCATCTAACTAATCAATAATAAAAATAATGTTGACTGACCGGGTCTATTCACAGTTTGGAATTTAAACCCGAACTTATCATCTGAAATCTACCCCTCCCTTTGTTCTTCCCAATGTCACGGTGTCACGTTTCTTTGCATCAGAAGCCAAGCGTGTCTTAAAGGTGTGCAAT